GGGGGGGGGGGGGAGGAGGAAGAGAAGGTGAATGGTCTAAGCCATGTTTGGGAGAGGCATAGATCACTTAAAAAATAGTTTAGAGCCAGCCTTTAAAATGATTTTAAACATACACTTTCAAGACTCCAGAGATGAAACAGAGAGACACATGTACGCATGCAGAAAAAAAGGCGGAGAAAAGAGGAAACAGCGGCGTTCAATAGGCAAAATTTCATGAGAACAGTTAAGATGTTAGTGGTAAACTTGCATGAAGTTGCTAAAACAGAATATGGCACTGAACTAAGTCTGAGCAAGAAAAAAAAGTGTCACATGTATTCTTATGTATGTAATGAATGCCCCAGCTAAAAAGTGTACCTTTTCAGAGCAATGAAAATGGCTCATTGCAAGATCTTCTGGTTCTGAAACCAGGATTAAAATAAAACTTCTGACAACTTGCACAGTTTGTATGAAAATGTACCAAGAAAGTATTCCTCTATTCTTCAAAGCATCATTTTACTTCAAAAAATTTAGACTAGTGAATGTGACAACTCCTATTTGAATGCGGAGCTCTATAGACATAACTTTGCCTCTTGAACGCTGACACCACAACCAACTGAACAAAGAAAAAGAGGTGAGCTAAAATCGTCCTCAATATTGAAAAGAAACTTTCAAAATTACATGAAATAAATCTTATGAAGATTCAACCAGCACAGAAGACGCAAAAGTCAATCCATAAAATAGTAGATCAATTTTTCTCCTCTTCAAGGATATGCTTAGATAAGAAATCCAACTACCTTTGGAAACTTATGAATTTGATGTCAACTGAAAATTGAGGTGAATTTATAGCAGGAGTAAACAAACATCGAGATATCGAACGCATTTTGCTTTGATACGGATTCACTCTTTTGACACAAGTTTTGGCAACAAACCAATCGATTAAGCCTGGAGGTTCATTTCAGCTGTTTTCCCCTAAAATATCTGTTTTGTGCACTCTAAAATTAAACGGGAAATTAAATGTTTGACTCAACTGGTAAGGTGTAATTTTTGTGTTTGGATACTTTCAACTGTATTATATTGTTAACAAAATGTATTCTTTGGGAAGAAACAGCTGAAATAGGCTTCTAGACGTTATCGCTATTTTTTCACTTGGAAAGCTGCCCACTTTTTGGACAACCCGTTGAGAGAAAATAATTACTGAATGTATTTCCTTATGGAAATCTTGAAAACTCGAAGCATTAGATGAGGGATGACTTAGTTCACATCTGATTCTATGTTCAGTTACCCATCATTGAAATAAATGCTTACCTTGATCTTTCTTTTGGCTCCTGATTATCAGTCTGAAAAAAAAATAAAACGTAATAATATGAAAACACGTGTTTTTGAACATGATGCAATAGCAGGTCAGTGAACAAAATATTCATTCAAGCACAATGGAACATGGTTTCAATTGAAAATTTCATATTTTGGGCAATTGTTAATTGGATGAATTCAACCAAAACAGCCTCACTGCATTTCATGTTGCCTCATTCTCTTTCAAGTTTCGTTTTTTCGGCTGATAAACAACATATTGCCTTGGAAGTTTTTGGACATTTTCTCTGACTTACAGAAAAAAACTACTTATAATTCAAGTCAGAATAATCATAATTTTTCAGTTGAAAAAATAAAATATGAGAGGAACTTGCACAATGCCTAATGAAGTCAATCGGATTCTACTTAAATCCGTCCGATTCGGAGATAGGCTGGATCGAAGCATTTCTAATTGACATTAGATATATACTTGAACAGGAATGACATTTCATGTCCCTGATTTACTTACAATCAAAAGAACAAGTTAAAAAAAACATGGTTTAGGAGTTAATTTTCTAAGTTGCTGTTAGAGAATTCTTCTGTCCAGAGGGTCTCCATGAGAAAAATTTCCACCGCAACTTGCAATGTTTGATCGTTTACATATCCTTAGTAAATTGGGTTCCACTATCTGTCCTATGAGCTTTGATTGTGGCATCAAGAAAAAAGTTTTTATCCATCACTCAATGATACCAAAGAGATGATGTTTTCTGATTTGTTCAACTGAGCGATGACATCAGCCACCCACTCAACAGAGAGACTAGGCTACCAGTTAAGTCACCGATCGAGATGAGGTAACAGTTATTTACAGATCCTTCAATAGGTAAATACTGTTTTGGAGTCAACAATTATACCCTTCGATGGAAATTTTACTTACTTCTTTGTTAACTTGTTGGAGACATTGTTCTAACTCGAGGAGCTCCTTTTCTAAGTTGTCACCAGTATCTGCAAGGAAAAAATAAATAAATTAGGACTGTTATACTTATCAAACAACTGATACGTTTTAAACTCACAAAAAATTTACATCAAATTTCATCAAAGCTTTAAGATTTACTGAGGACCTTGAGGGTTATAATTTAAATTAAGAAAAAATTCATGCCGATTAAGATAATATTTCCATAAAAAAATCAGGTCAGAGTAATGATTATTAAATTGTTATCGAATGACCTTAATCAATATATATTTTCATCCATCTAGGTCATTCAATTATGAGATTTGATAAACCAGACGCAGTTGATGAAGGACGTCCAATTGGTAATTAGACAGATTCAATCGGAGTAAGAGTAACTGCATTTCATATTGCCTGATTTTCTCTCGTTTTTTTTTTTTTTTTTTTTTTTTTTTTTTTTTAATTTTTTTTATTTTTAACAGAAATTAAAACTTATGTACACCTATAAACTTTCTGTGGATACAGTCTAGATTATTTTAAATTTTCTAACACTTCAAGTTTCAGTGTTGCTTAGTTTCTTGTTTAAAAAATAAAACATCAGGGTAAATTGAATCACATTCCTCGATTCGAAACTACATACAATTTTTAGCTCATCCATAAAAGACTGATGTGCATAAGGAAACTAATAATACATACGTTGTTTCTAAATTTAGCCAGTGCGAAATGTCTGGTGTACAGATTTTGATCAAATTTGTCCGTCTCTTAAGTCCCTTACTCTCAGAGATACCCAAAATTACCAACAAACTACTCCAACTCGACTCGAGCTCAACTCGGCTCAAGGGTCATTTTCAAAGCTCGAAAAAACACAAACTCGGCTCGAATTAGTGAAAAAATACTCAAACTCGGCTCGAATCCAAAAAACAAGGCTTGCACAGCCCTACTTAAAATGGCTTAAAAATGTTATGGGAGAAAAAAGTCTGATCGATTCCTGAAGTTTCTGCCAATCAATTTGGGACACCCATCGTAGAAGATCTTTCCTCTGCTTTTACCCAGGATATAAAGTTGAAATCCAAATTTTTCTTGAATTTAAAATCACTTATATTGATGCTAAACAAAAAATAAACTGCAAAATTTCCAACATGAAAAACGAAAATTTTAAGTGAAATTATGGTTAAAATTTACTAAAATAAACAGGAAAAAAAAACTTGGAAAAATGGAAGCTGGCATTTTTCTGTAAAGTAAAAAAACAGTTTCCTCACTCAGATATTTTAAGGATTTTTTTAAGTTTTCTCTTTAAAACTTAGGAGATTTTCTATCTTTTTTAAAACAGCCAATGCAACTAGAGCTGTAAACCTCAATTTCTGGCCTTATCCTGAGGTCCATTCTCAGATTGTTTCAAATTGAAAACCGTTGGTTTTCTTTCACCTTTCCTGAATTATTCAAAGGAACACTTCAGAGTTTAGAAAAAAATCAACTTTTTCATTTAAATTCGGATTCTAAAGAGCTATATTGACAAAAATTTATAAATCATATGACCTCAGAGCTGAGAGAAAAGGAATTCCCAGTTCTAAGTAACTGATCTGGTTCAGATACATACCTTTAGCTCGATTTTGACCAATAGATGACTCTGGTATATTCAGGGATTCATGGAGAGGATTACTTTTACATGTAATGTTTGACACATTTAAAGCACAGCTAGATTCAGGTACAGGAACATACTCTACTTGTTTCACAGGATGTGCAGAATTCGAGGGACCTAAAAGTTAAAAAAAAAAAAAAATTAAATTTAATGGCAATTTTGTTTGAAATGTGAATCAGGCATTAGGCTAAATCACTCACACAAATCAATCACTGAAAATCTCCGAAAAACACACACCTCCTCCCCCCTTGAAAAAACACCCAGATGGTCATTTATCGAGTCTCCTCTAAACTCAAAGTAGGCATGCAAAAGTAAATATTTTATAATTCATGACAGGATCGGTGAGAAAGGACCTCCTCTTCCGAGCAATTTTTTTGTTCATTTGTTTTAAATGCACAAAACTCGAGGTAGAATAATATATATATTATTGATTAGCAAGAGAGAAGGAGAGGTAGAATAATATATACATAAAAGAATATAATTAGTAATATTTAAGTGCTGTATTTAAGTGCTTTTAGTGTAATATTTAAGGTGCTGTATGAAGCACCTGATAGAAGTGTATTTTCGTTGATGATCGGTCGAACCCAAATGGGTGGATCATGCGGATTTTTATTTTGTTTTGACGCGATCATAATTTTGCAGAACAACATCGGGACTCAAGAGATGGAGAAAAGGTGGAATTCTTGCAAACGTCGGCACCAAAATATAATCCTACAAAAAGTAAGGTTTAGAAATGACCTGATGAAGATGATGGCATCGGACCAGCATCAATTTCGAAAGTCTGACCTCAAATGTTTACCGACCTGATTATGATCTAGCCGCCATTTTGGCTCCACCAATCATCAACGAAAATACGCTTTGGGAATTGCGCCTTGTAGCAGCCACATAGACATGATCCTCTCATTTCCATTGTTTTTTATTTTGATATACAGAGGGTCATTCCTGATCAGCGACGTCTTTCAATTCGGCGTTTACTTATCTTAAAATGTAGAGCAAAACACTAATGACGACACGCTTATTACCTTCATCTGAAAACGACAGCTCAGTTTTAACAGCCACATCACTGCCCATTACGTGTGACAGTAAAATAGGAGAATTCCCTTGGTTTGAATCCGACTGGGAATCATACGATGGATTCAGCTCATGATGAAACTCGTCAGTGGGCACTAACGATTTTTTTGATGTGTCTCTGAGATTGTCTGATTCCGGGAGTGAGTTCACACTTCCGATGTGGGTTATGATAGGACCATCCTCTCCTTCCGATTTTCTCTTTTTCTTCTTCTTCTTCTTCCTAGTCTCCTCTGTCTCAAGTATGTCAGGATTAGCTTCAGAAACTATTTGCACCACATCAGAGTTGCGTTTCTTCCTCTTCTTTGATTTACGATGATCTGAATTAAGAATATTTTCTTCGGATTCACATTCTCCTTTACTATCTCCTTTACTCGAATCGCTCATTTTTAGGCGGTAATATTCCTCAAATTCAATTCTATTTTCATCGCTCAATAATTCTGCAAGCTTGAGCAGTAAGTCTCGCATAATCATAAGCTTCTTTTCATCATTGTCGAGATGATCCAAGGAGATATTTGTTTGATTATTACTGTTTACTAACTCTTCTTTCTTTTTCTTCTTCTTCTTACTCTTTTCTTGTTCTTCCCTTTCTTCTCCAGCAAAATTGTCCAAAGGTTCAACTGCTGGGCTGCATGCAAGATCTGAATTCTCTTTCTTGTTTTTTTTTTGCTTCTTATTGGGAGTCTCAGATGAGTGTCCTACTAACAATTCAGGGCTCACATTGTTTGAAAGTTCATGCAGTGGTTTAACTTGGAGGCCAATTCTATTCTCTGAAAGATAAAAACAAATTCTCAGTATTTAAAAATTTACTAAAATATCAATATCATAGCACATTTAAATTGTCTATTTTACGCACAGATTTTGTAAGAGCCTATTTCATGATAAGGGCCTGTGGTAGCTTATTTTGAGAATGCACAACTACACAAGGTGCTAATTTAAGCAAAAATTTCTGAATCATGCAAAACAAGCCAATTCTAGAAATGTATGCATGATCTGTAACCTCTCCCAGCATGTTAGTACAAAAGAATGCCTACAACATTACTTGATTTAATGGATGCAAAATCTAAATCTGCCAATTTTGGGGGGAATAGATTCCGCAAAAATATGTCAATTGTTGCATAAATCGCTGAAGATTGGCTGTAGGGCATCATTTGGCACGTTTCACAGGGAAATATTTCAAAACGAAGTTCAAATTTGAATGTGAGATGAAAAAATGCACGTAGATATTACTCGACAATCAACAGTCCCGAATTTTTGAAGACTAAGATTTCAATTTGTATTAACTATTCCGGGCATACCTACCAAAAACGAGAAAAGAAAAAAAACTACTTGGACTAATTCATTGTGGATACAAATTGGTAAATATGAACGAACAGACAAAAACATACAATGGGACGTACCTGTTTGAGTAGAAATTTCAATTTTCTCCTTCTCATCATTACTGGTTCTCAGAAGTCTGGGAAAAAAAAAAAACAGTATTTAAATTACAAATGCGTTTCGTGCATTGCAAAGCTATAAATATGAGTTGTTCCGATCGGTCTGTTGCTTGCATGAGATACAACCAACTGGATAAACTTTTTTGAGGGTCATTCCATGTCAATTCGAACGGACTTGTAACCACCCGACTCGGATTTCCATGATTTTTTTTTTTACTTAATCTATAGGTCAATATAAGAAAAAACCCAAATTTTCAGCTTCATATCTTCAATATTTCTTGAGAAAAATTTTTTTGAAGTTTTATGGCCTTCTCTAAAAATGCACTCTCCAGACTCAGAAAACAGGAATGACTCGTGTTTGAAAAAACCTCATAAGTTTTGCAGTTTTAAAGATTTTAAGCTGAAATTTGGCACACTAATTCGTGTTAGTATGTATTTTAAGGGGAAAATTCCCAATTGAACCCGACTCACTCAGGAGGGCCAACTGAGCCGAAGATACGCCGTTTTAGCCCTGATTTTTAACGCTAAAAACTAGTTTTCTTAAAATGGGCGTAGCAACCGAAGCTAACGAGATATTGCCAACTTTTTTTTTTTGAAAATCAACTTCAAAGTATGCTCTAACTGATTGAAAAATAAAAATCGTGGGTATGCAGCTTCTTCATTGGTTAATCACACTTTTTAGCGAAAAACGCTCAAAAAAATTGAGTCTGGGGGTAGGGTGCGGCTTATACGAGAAATTAAAAAGGTTGAATTTTGAAAATGACAAGGGACCCCGCCAAAACCTTCCTAATAGTGTACAAACAAACGTTGTAGAACAGTTTTGCATTTGGTCAACATTTAGAGGTCGCGACGGGCCCTTAAAATTGCAAAATTCGGCTAATTTTCGCATTTTTTCATCCATTTTGGCAAATTTTCTCAGGCCTCACGGAGAGTTCTAATTGATAATTTTATTCATAAATAGGCAATATATAACCTAAAATGCATCCCATCCTCCACCTTAAGCCCCCAGCCCCTCCAACCCCCCTCCCTTACCGATCCAATATAAATACACTCTTCATAAACTACGCTATTTTGGTAGTGACCAGAAATCTAAAGTAACACTGGTCAACACGGGTTCAAATATGATAGTCTTAGAGTAGTTTGTAGCGCTGAGTCCGAAAATGACCTCCGTCATGCAGGGTCAGGTCGATTTTCCCCGGAAAAATCAGGATTTTCCTTAAAAATCGAGCTTTTCCGGTGAAAAATCAATTTTCCGGAAAATCTGTGCATGATGGAGGCGACTGGTGGAGTTGACTCCACTAAATAATTGCCGCTGCAGCCGCATATGACCCTCGCTTTTTTTGCAGAACCTTTTGAATATCCAGATTCCAAAAAGAGGGGATGTTTTTAAACGTTTTTGAGTTAAAATGGTGCATTTATTTTCGAAAAATCGAATTCTCAAAAAAATTGATAGATTTTGGAAAAAAGCGAGGGTCATATGCGGCTGCAGCGGGAATTATTTAGTGGAGTCAACTCCACCAGTCGCCTGAGAAAAAATATTTTCCCTCCTTTCCGACGCAAATCAATCGGACTGGTATTACATGCGTTACATGGGTGGAAAGGGGCACTTGTCCGGAAAAACCTCGATATTTGGAACAGAACGGAAACTTCAATAGGCATACAATTTATGGGTCCCCATGTAACTTTAGCTGCTGAATCCGAAAATGGCCTTATCTTTCCTCCATCATGCACAGATTTTCCGGAAAATTGATTTTTCACCGGAAAAGCTCGATTTTTAAGGAAAATCCTGATTTTTCCGGGGAAAATCGACCTGACCCTGCATGACGGAGGTCATTTTCGGACTCAGCGCTACAAACTACTCTAAGACTATCATATTTGAACCCGTGTTGACCAGTGTTACTTTAGATTTCTGGTCACTACCAAAATAGCGTAGTTTATGAAGAGTGTATTTATATTGGATCGGTAAGGGAGGGGGGTTGGAGGGGCTGGGGGCTTAAGGTGGAGGATGGGATGCATTTTAGGTTATATATTGCCTATTTATGAATAAAATTATCAATTAGAACTCTCCGTGAGGCCTGAGAAAATTTGCCAAAATGGATGAAAAAATGCGAAAATTAGCCGAATTTTGCAATTTTAAGGGCCCGTCGCGACCTCTAAATGTTGACCAAATGCAAAACTGTTCTACAACGTTTGTTTGTACACTATTAGGAAGGTTTTGGCGGGGTCCCTTGTCATTTTCAAAATTCAACCTTTTTAATTTCTCGTATAAGCCGCACCCTACCCCCAGACTCAATTTTTTTGAGCGTTTTTCGCTAAAAAGTGTGATTAACCAATGAAGAAGCTGCATACCCACGATTTTTATTTTTCAATCAGTTAGAGCATACTTTGAAGTTGATTTTCAAAAAAAAAAAGTTGGCAATATCTCGTTAGCTTCGGTTGCTACGCCCATTTTAAGAAAACTAGTTTTTAGCGTTAAAAATCAGGGCTAAAACGGCGTATCTTCGGCTCAGTTGGCCCTCCTGAGTGAGTCGGGTTCAATTGGGAATTTTCCCCTTAAAATACATACTAACACGAATTAGTGTGCCAAATTTCAGCTTAAAATCTTTAAAACTGCAAAACTTATGAGGTTTTTTCAAACACGAGTCATTCCTGTTTTCTGAGTCTGGAGAGTGCATTTTTAGAGAAGGCCATAAAACTTCAAAAAAATTTTTCTCAAGAAATATTGAAGATATGAAGCTGAAAATTTGGGTTTTTTCTTATATTGACCTATAGATTAAGTAAAAAAAAAATCATGGAAATCCGAGTCGGGTGGTTCCAAGTCCGTTCGAATTGACATGGAATGACCCTTTGCTTTTTCTTGATTCCAAACTTTCCGAATTTGTTAATTTTTTCCTAACTTCCCCTAACTTCGATCAAAACCTTCACTTGGAATTCTGTTCTTTCAATTACACTTATTTTTTTAAATCATGGACAAGATCCACATTTCTAGAGATTCAGATTAAAGAAAAGTTGTTTACTCTCAGTTAGTCTGGTATGGACATGTGCAAAGGATGGCAAACGATTGATTGCCCAAGCAGGTTTTCGATTGGGTTCTTCTCAGAGGGCGACGGCGAGGAAATCCCGTGAAAAGTTGGCGACAAGGAGTGGAGGAGGAGATCTGCAGCCCAACCACAGACCTCTCGCTTCCATCGATATTGATAGAACTAGGTTCTAGTTTAATGGAATACCCTTTGAGGGTGAACACAGACCTTGATCTATAGAAAAGGCCTTTGGAAAGCTGTTCCATCACTCATGGGTCAATAGAACTGCTTGATTCCAACGAAATTGAGGTTAGGGTTCTTCTTTTGTTTACGTGCTTCTCACTCGTCGGCCGTTGAAGTTGATTTGGGTCAAATTATTGGTTGAAACCTAAATTTTGAGGTTATTAACCTCCTTTCCCACTCATGTTTCATTAAATTCTAATTTGTTATTCTGTCTATAGATGGCTGTAGGTTCCTCTCTTAGAATATAAGCCAATAAACCATCAGAAGAAGAAGAAGAAGAAGAATTTTGAGGTTAGTGCGCCTCCCGTCATAAATGTTTTCCAACCTGCTTCTTCTTCTTTGATGAATGCATCAAGGAAGGTGATTGGTTGAGAGCAACTTCCTCTTTTTCAGTTAATTGTTCAACATCGCACGCCTTCCATTGCCGTTCCATCGCGGTCCGTGGTCGCAAAAATTCTATCGATGGAACTGCTATGAAACAAACTCGCACTTCTATGGGAGAGCCATAGAAGTCTGTGGTCGGGCTGCAGGTGGTGCCAATTGCCTGATGATCTCTGGGAGGACGAGGGGCGATGGCGATTGGGCGTCCAGAGCGCAAGGCTGCACTGTGAAAGCAGCTTAATGTATGTGTTTATGTTTACGCTCTCTAAAATGGCACCTGCTGAAGTTGCTGAATTGACGCACTACTCGCAAAATTCCCTAATTTTTCCCATGAACTTCCTGATTTTTCCAAGCTACTCTAAATTCCTTAGCTTTATCAGGTCATGATTTCAAAATTATTTGTCAACAGATTTCGAGTAAAAATATAAATTAAGTAGTTTTTGTTAGAAAAAATAAAGGAAAAGTGAAAATTTTTACATATTCCTGTAAAATTATCAACACAGTAATTTGGCATAAATTGATAGAAAAAAAAAACAGGTACTCACTGTTTTTGAAGCCTTTTTAATTCTTTCTTTGTCCTTTGATGGGATGACGAGTCATCTGTGACAGTAAAAAAATCAGCAGGAAGGTGAAGTTCCAGCTCTTGTACCAAGGTTCTTAACACACTACCTACTTTTAAATTGTGCCATTCTATCAGTCTTTCTAAGTGAATACTCTGTGATAAAACAAAAAAAGAGGCATAGGTCAAACGAATAGATCTAAAGAAGTAATCATTTGGGGCCTAAACACAAGAGGCTATTCACAAAAGCAACAAGAACTAAGTGGTTTTTCTCCCCCAGAGAAATAAAAATACTAAAAAGTATCAATACCAGATTAATTTGGTGGAAAAATTTTGGGCAGTTGCCTAGGGAAAATATTTTTTTGTGAGAGTTAAAATGTGACCAGGCATGAGAAAAGGGGATATGAGGAAAAACAAAATTTTTCAGGAGAGCAAAAAAATGTGGGTCAGGTCAAAATGATAAATTTTCGTTTTTTTTATTAAACTCGAAGTCTCATATTCTCTCAAAATCACTATCGACAAGATTACAAGCAATTGAAGCTAACATCATCGGAAGCTGGCAAACGCACATTGACTCCATCTTGACTGGGCTTTTCTTGAAATAGTGATTTGTCCACCCGTGAGCTTAACAATCTAGAAGTCATTTTTGAAATCTGAGGGGTTCTTTCCAGCAAATGATGGGGAATAAACGCCACTCAGGAGTGGTGTACTTATCTTAAATATTTCCGATTCCACTTTGAGGGCCTCTTTCCCATTATGAGCCACAAATGAGGCGTTGGATCCAGAAAGGGCATTTCTTGGTTGCGGTGTTGCAGAGTCTCCACCGCTAATTTATATTTAAGACAGGAAACTACTGGGTGAATTTTCAGAAATTTTCTGTTTTCAGTATTGTAAAATTATAAAGAAAATTCAGTACAAAATTCGACAAATTCCAAGCGTTTGCTTCAATTGTAAAGGGATGAAACGTTAGCAAAGATTCTAAGACGACGCAACTACTTAATGCCCTTTTTGCACCCAGCACTTCAAATATGTTTGTCCCCAACAACTTTGCTCAATCAAGGTCAATGCAGTAATACAACAGCCATTATTGGGGTGGATTCGTCCATTGACTCTTGATCAAAGGAGCTGTGAAGAGAGGGGAGAAAAAGAGGGAAAAAAAGAATTAAGACGATGAAGAAAATGAAGGAGCAAGAGTGAGAGGAGCTCCATAGCAGGACAACAGTGACGAGTTTCGTTTGAAAATGTACACGTTTACTCAAGAACAGTTGCAGGTTTTCTCTTTGAATTTTTGGGTAGTTTTTTTTCTTTTTCAAATTCTAAAAAATTTCTGGAAGTTTTTAATAACTAACATTCCTCCAATAATAAGTGAAACAGAAAGTTGTCAGGCAAAACTTTGATACATTGCGATGCCATTAAGCCTCCTGGCTATTGAACCAATTCAGGGGATTATGGCAAGACAACCACCGTCAGATTTTGTTCTGATGTAAAAAGATAGTAATGTACATCACCTGTGATGAGAATGAAACTGCAACAAGGCAAAGACAAAAATGGTAGGTTCATGCTGTGCATGACTCAACTTAGGCATGACTCTGTAGGTAACATTATTACTTTTAATGCGAAATGTAATTTCCTGTGAACTTTCATGGGCAAGAAATACTAAATATCACAGATAAGGCAACAGCTCAAGCAAAACTGGTTACTCCAATGGCAAATTGCTTGCTATGATTACATTTTAAGATAACGACGGCGTAAGGCCTCAATCACATATTTCGTTTGCAGTGTCTGAAAATCTCCGCCTCCACCTTAATTTTTAAAAGGAGAACAAATTGACATCATTCCTTGAAATTAATGCAGAATTTTCTTCACACAGTGAAAAAAATCACGGCAGTTTTGAACAGCTGCCGTTGAGTAGTTTTCCGTTTAAAAAAAAGTATGACAGGAAGTCTGCAACTCGCGAACTGAGATATGTGATTGCCTACTTCCACCGTCAATAAACTTCTTAAGTATATCTAAGTTCCTCCATGTTTACTAGAGTAGAGTCCTGACAAAAATGCGGCTATGCCTTTTAACAGGCAGGGCAGGAAGTTATTGTTTTCCTGTACAGAGTAAACAGTGCGGAATGGTCCCTACCTTTTCCACACTCAGTTGTTCTTCAATTAGATCGACACAGTGGTCGATCAGATGATCATTTAAATACTGACGGATCCAAGGCTTTATTATTCTTAGAACGCTCATGTCAGCTGAAAAAAAGAAAAAAGATTTATGAAAGTAAATGAGATAGGATTTGTTTTGATCAATGTCATTCTGCGTAGGTATAAAAAATGCATTAGTGATAGGCATTAATTGGAAGGGACTTACTTTACTACATTACACAAAAAGAAACAGACTTTTTTGGCTTATTTCAGAGGCAACACATATCTTTTTAGTATCTCCATGCAGATACGTATTTTCATGGTTTTTTCCGGCCAGACAGGAAAATGACGAGGAATTTGCACGGGGTTATACTGTAACTTACCTTGAGTAGGATTTCAGGTAAAAACAAAAAATTTCGATAAAAAGTTCAAAAAATTATTTCTAAAAAGATAAAAAGCTATTTAAAATCCGACAAATCAAGGGCCAATAGTTGAATTGACATAGCAAGATGATGCCTAAAGCTGAGTTCAGCTAATGAGCAGACAACATTTCCCCCGCCTGGCTATGTCATCAGAGCCTGCCCTCCTTGAAACATCCATCTCATGATTGTATCGTAAAAAAACTAGGTACTTATCAGTGTTACAAGGTTTGAGGGTATTAAAAAACCTATCCAAGATTGTATTCTCGCTTCTGCGAAAGTCGGATGTTATCATGTGGATAGTAGCGACGCGAAAACACCTGCAAACCAAATGTAAACAACAGCCACCTTATATGACAACACCTCTAAATAGATGTAGGTAATGATAGTTCAATCCCTACCAAAGAAGTACGTAATTTCTTATACAAACCATCCACCAGAAATTAGTACATGAATTTCCAGGTAAACAAAAAGGGATTTCTTCTATTAATTGGCAAATCCACTGGTGGTATTCGATAGGACACCATTTGAGAACCATCAGTTGACCGATTGCTCAGGACAAAGAATCTTTCGGTGCGCTTGAAGATGGTATAAAATCCACCGGTGGTTGTGACATCAGCACCATCGATCAATTTAAGAGCGCAGTTCAGCGGCCAGTGGTACTGCTTTGCAGTACAATAAAACACATCAATTCACTGACTCTAAGCCACACATCCCCATTCCAGCTCGGCAGCCTGATTGTTGAAATCTTTTGTTTGTCAGGACGACATAGATGACATAGGTTAAAAGGCGGAGCGTGATTGGTCAGCTATATCTTATCGCTGCTTGATCGTGCCTTTGTCAGATGGATTGATCGACATACTGTCAGAACTTTAAGAGGTGCCGTTAGCTTGTCGGGAGTTCAACCCGACATAGGCACGACAAAGCAGCGATAAGACATAGCCGACCAATCACGCTTCGCATTTTAACCTATGTCATCTATGTCGACAAACAAACAATTTCAACAATCAGGCTGCAGAGGGCCTGTAGTTAGCCCCGGCAAGGGATTTGGCATTGGCAGGCCAGCAAACCAGCAGCACTAAATGTGCGAGGTCCGTTAGCTCTACTTGCGGCCATTATGATACAGAGACGTACTTGAGTTTTGCCAAGAGTATTGACGGATGGCACGTTCTCTTACAGGCAAAGAAGCTTAATAGAAGATAGAATGAAAACGGTGACACATCCCACCATGCTGGCAAAAGATCCAACACCAATGGCAACGTCTTCCTCCAACATACTGCTGCTACAATGAAAGTGGATAAAAGTAATTGATCTCAGGATGAATGAGTTGATTTACCTTCTCCTGTCAGACGTGGGCTGGATCATCACAGTCAACTCCTCTGATTAAAACTTAGATAAGAGAGGAAACAAGTGCCACATTGTGGGAACACATGAGATAAGGAAAATCGCATACACGTGCACTTCAAAGTTCAACGCTTCACAGAGCTGGAAAACACCGGGAAAGCATAGCAAGTCAGGGAGAAAATGTGCGAAGGAGGTTAGGAAATAATGGAAATTCACGGAAATTGGCATGGAAATTGGTCTCTTTGGAAATTGGTAGAAATTGGCATCACAGTTCGCTGTTTTGATTGGATGAAATTTAGCGGTAAAATTTTAATTGCACTCCATTCCGCTAGAGTACGGTGGAGCCATTTTGTTTGGCGCGAATATACGAAATTCAATGTTCATTGGGCGTTTTCGTGTTCTGATGAATTCTGATACTTTTAGCTTTAATTCACGGTATCCAAAAGAGATTTTAAGGGGGAAAATTAGCTGGTAAGTATGCAGGTTTGAGGTAATCATTCCATTTTTGTGTTTGAATCACTGTAATGCTATAACTGAATAAAATAACGTATTCTGCCATGCGAAGAGCTGACGCTGAGTAATTCTTGCCAAATTTCCATCAACAGAACATGAGGGGCCTGGGAAATTTGTTTATTTTAATATTTTTCCTCTATTATTTCAAAGAAATTTATTTAGGGTCCAATCAAAATCATCATCAGGTTTCAGGGGAAAGGGGGTTTTGAAAATTGTTTAAAATGGGTAATTGTTTTATTGAGGAAAATTTAGCAACATTCAAAAGTTCATACACCTCTCTTCTTAGGCACCCTAGCACCCCTAGCAGGCATGAAATTCAAGCACACTGGAAAGCACATGTCATAGCATAGTAGCTACTTCTATTATTATTATATAATATAGAGCTATTATTCTATGCACATGTGCTATCTTGTACTTCCTTTATCAAATTCGTCATCACTTACTTCAGTTTGCATTTGCACAATTTGTATTATGTACTGTCACTCTTCTTTCAGTGTAAATAAAATAAATATCGCAGTAAATGCACTTCCTGTTGGCGATTTAAGTCAGATTTCTGCTGTCTCTTACAGTAAATCAAGCTGTGCCATATTTTAGCAAATCATCATTTTTTTCTAAGTTAGAAAAAGCCACTCTTATTAATGCATATTGTTCAACCCAATAACTTTTGTGTTAATCAAGGATAGCGCAATATAGTATAGCTAAGCTTGAACCAGAGTAAAGAACCATTCAGAACTATTTTTTCAGACATTTCCAAGAAGATGCTCAATTGCTCGCCTAGCAGAAAATTCATTTACGCTGGTGACTCTAGGTTTCATTATCTTAAAATACCTAGTGGAATTCACCTACTACGAAGCAAGGATAGGTTTCTCATAAAATTAAATTATCTGACTGGCAGTATGAAAACAAAGCAGAACACAGAGGGCACACTGAGCAAGTCGTTATGCCTCAATGGTCACTTTTGCTGGACACGGAATCATGTTCTGATGTTTGATTCTTGCAGATCAGCTAAAAGTAATAAGATCCATCCAAACAGCAACTTACTGCCTTCAATATTAACCGAGATATCGCGCTTTGAAAAATTCGGTTTATGAAGTCATCTACCGCAGTAGTGACACCTTTGGTTTCATCCACCTTGCTTTCATCAATAAGTGTCTCTCTAATTGATGAGAGTAAGGTGGAAGAAACCAAGGGTGTCACTGCCACTACCTCGATGGATGACATGATAAACCAAATTTTTCATAGTATAATATCTCTGTTAATATTGAACATAAAAAGTTGCTGTTTGGACAGATATTGTTATTTATAGCTGATCTGCAAGAATCAAGCATCAAAACACGGGTGTCACTGTCACTACCTCGATGGATGACATGATAAACCAAATTTTTCATAGCATGATATCTCTGTTAATATTGAACATAAAAAGTTGCTGTTCGGACAGATATTGTTATTTATAGCTGATCTGCAAGAATCAAGCATCAAAACATGATTCCATGACCAGCGCAACTGACCCATTGCATTTTCAGACGACCTTCAAAATCAAGTCAACAGAAGTCACTAGGAATCTAATGACATTTGAGAGAAACTAGGTTTTCGGAGAGGACAGGGGCGATGTCACAGTAAAGAAAAAAACAGAAATAAGTACTGTCATCTAGTTTTATTTGTAGCAGGTCACTAGTGGGGCACTTAATTACAGGGCTTAGCGTAAATCACAAATATACAGAGTCAAAAGTTTTGACCGTTTGAAGTTTAACGTGAACTTTTTTGGGTACAGAAATGATTTTTTAATAGGAACTTTACACGGCAACCATGGCTGTTTTCGATCGTGAAAAGTAAATACAAATTGTGCAGTAAGATTACTAACATATCACTTGTTGAAGCTTTATATAGAGAGAGATAGAGAGTGAGAAAAAATGATACGTAGGGAAATAAAAATTTTAAGTATCGAATGATGAAAATTTCTACAGCTGAAGAAATTGTCCTCTGCCAGGAAATACATCCTACAATTGGAGTTCAACCAAAAAATTGTTTTCTCCTTTGCAACTAGAGGTTTTAAATGCTGGTTTTGCAGATGGGTCTTTGACTCTTTGCTTAAGCAATTGACGTAATAATGTGGTTCTAGCTTGATAGGAGGTCCTAAAATAATGGGACCAGTAATAATAACTAGAATTTAGGACATTCATATTTTCATGCATATCTCGCACTAAAAATTAGGAGTCAGTGGGGCAAAAAGAAAGGGGGATTCATCACTGTCTGAAATAGGAAAAAAAAAGTAATACAAAAAGGAGGAAAGAAACTCATGAGTATAAATAAAAAGTCCTATAAAATGGACGATCAATTGACTAACAAAGTAAATACTTGAATATTGTAACAAATAAACTTCACGCAAATTTTCTGACACAATAATTTGATTCACCAAAGTTTGAAAAAAAACCAACAGAATCAGTCTAGGAAACAATTGACGAGTCAAATTACATTAATATTTTTTATGATTTCAAATAATTCAATTAAGCTCCTGTAAAGCACAAGAACTTGCAATTAAAGTACTAGTTATTCGTGTAAAATTACACAAGAAATACAATGGTGCCACTAATTTCCTTTGAACCAGTTGAACTCTTCATGCACAGATACGGAGCGAATACATTAATAAGGTTCCTGCTGTTCCAGCCTTGGAGTTCGCTGACAAAAGTGGCAACCCTGCTAATGTATTCCCTCCTTATCTGCGCATGGGGAATTAAACTGAATGTTAAAGGTGGACTCTTAGCGCATCATGGGAGATCCCCTCCAGTAAGTCCTCAACTTTGGAAGCTTTTTTTAAGTTTGAGAGTTCGTGTAAGAAAAAACCAACACGATATCGAGTTCTCGCAAAATTTTACACAAAAAAAAGTACTGTAATTGTAAATCCCTGAGGCATGCAAGAATCCAACTTTGCACAGGAAAATCTGTTGAAATATTAGTCAGGATGGAAAGAGAACGAATATACCCTAGGAAATTTCATTCAGAAATTATTAAACAACCTCTGCAGTTACAAAGATAGAAGATTTCATGAAATTTGTTTCAAAAAAATTCACTTGCAAAATGTACAAGAAATTTTGGGAATTTATCAACTACCACAGCTATTGAAGGAGCACAATGGCTTGGAAAAAAACCTCATTTTCATCATTCTAAAAGATAAAGCAAAGCAGACGGACAGTAAATCTTGTAATTACTCCAGCTTCACATTCTTAAGAAATTTCCCTTTTAAAAAAGACAATTTTATTGTCTATCACACACTACAAAAAGTATTATTGCTGTTGACTATTACTTGCCAAAAATGTTACAAAGAAGATACTCTTTCATAGCCAATGGATCGTAAAAAGAGAGTAAAAAATGACCCAAGGTTACATTTTCGGCTAATAGCAAGGCTAGGAGAGTCATTGACGCCTTCAATTTCACCTTATATAGACAGTGAAATAGACGTCAGGAAGTCTTTTACTTAGTGAAAACCAAAGAGAACATCTGCAACCAAATTGCGAGAGACCAGTCTTTGCTTTCTTTTTGCATTTCCATCATTGATCGGAGTTACATTGGCATAATTTTGGATTCGGCTGATAACAGCACTTGAAAAAGCCCATCTAAAACCGTTCAGAAATTATCATGACCCAATTATCATTCCTACCGTTGGGCCTTTGTAGTAAAATTCCTGACCTCACTCAAGCAAGTCAAACAAAACGGAGCAGACCCTTTCTCCTTTGATTCAAACCTACAAAATTCAATTCAGGTTCACGTTTTCGGAGCTATCCATAAATTATACAATACAGATTTACATTATTTCATTTTCCTGTTTTTTTATAAAAAAAAAGAAAAAGAAAGGACTCCCATCACGGTACTCATAAGGAAAATATAACCACCCCATCATTTGCTATGAAAATCAACACATTTTGAAAGAAAATTCCCATGGAAATGCATACTTATGCACTCATATTCCCCGAAGATTTAGGTTTAGTAAAATCAAGTGTTTCACACAGAGATTCTTTACTACCCCTTTTCTAAAAAAAATTACTTGTAAAAGATTTACAACCCTCATCTTCCGCAAAACTGCTCTCCAAAACTGCAAGAGAGACCTTCTCCCAACTATTCAAAATTTGCTAATCAAACTAGTAAAGAATTCCAGACTTTTTCTGACATTCTTCATTTCATAGAACGTCATTGATGGGACGATAACAACTATTCGTTCTTAAATTTATGTTTTATTTATGGACAGCTCATCATTCAATGTCTGAAAAAAGTAAAGGACAGATCTATACACTAACTAGAACTAAAACAAGGTGAGACCTAACTACGTACACGGTAGGTATAGTATAAAAATCTTTGTTTTTACAGATACAACTAACTACTCTTTAAGCAAGTAATTCCTTTCATGAACAAAAAAAATAAATAAATAAATGTTTACATGTATACTCATAAAGATGGCTTTTGCAAGAAAATAACTTTGCAAACTGATAACAGAGGTGAGGGTAAAAATTTACAGATTGTGAATACTTATTTAAATATTTAACATCAATGATACAGGAAATGTACATACCAATGAGATGAATACCTCTTCATAAAAGGAACAACTAACAGATCAAAAACGTTCGTGAATGATTCTTTTAACCAAGAATGAGCCCCTGAAAAGCTAGGATTTTCTGATACAGTCGTAATCTATATACAAGCTTTAGTAAAATAATTTATCAATGGCTGATTACATAAAATGTGAATCTCAATACGTCTCCTGCACTAAGGGTTGTATCTTGATTGCACCGTTTCAGTATTTTTTACTTACATTTTATTTGTTTGCAGGAAAACGGTCACATAAATTTTCCTAAAATTTTTAGTGAGTTTTTTTAACCCTAGTTAGAATTGACTCCGTACTTTTTGGATTAATTCTTGTCACAGTTCTCCCATGAAAAAATAAAATGTTTGTAGAAATACTGAAACAGCAAAGATAAGTTCTCTCGTGCTGGAGACGGTAATTTTAATACAAAAAAATCTCTGATTACCTTCTATTTTTTTTTCGAGAAAAACTTATTAAAATTTTTCCCTTCAATTTTGAGTGATTTTTCTAGTAAAAGTGAAGAAAAATGAAACTTTTGACAGAAACTGGTGGTTGGTTTTCCTTTAAAAAAATTAAACATGAGCAGAGATCTACAACTTTGCAATTTGAGAAACAGATTTATCGACATCAGTCATTGTTATAATAATTTAAAAACAATCATAAGAGTGTGTTTTAGAGAGAAATTATTCCTCTTTTAAAACTTTTTGGTAATTCTGTTGAGAGAATATGGGAAAGATAGACATTTGTGTCTAACCTTCTAAGAAAAAGACCTTATCTTCCATGTAAAATTTGAACCAGAAAGTCAAACTTAGACAGTGAGATCAAAATTTTGAAGAAAATTTACGGTAAAAAAACAACACAATTTTTTTTTAAAACAATTTGGAAGCAGTATGGATCCGAATTGCATGATAGCAAAAGAATTGAAGGCACATAAAAACACAATGATAATAAATACTTCTTGTCAACTTGCGGCTCATTAGGATTCCTAATTATTAAATAACATTTATCCTTTTCGATACAACATCAATCCAAGAAAATTCAAAGCAATTTGTTACGAACATTGAAAGTCTAACTTTCAAACCTAAAAATTACCTTTTTTCTCCTTGCCTGTCTTTTCTCAAAGAATTTCCAGATGGCATTAAACAGGGTTTCCACAAAAATTAGAAAATGAAATTCGCTGATATTTTTAAAATAAACAAGCTGGTTAAAAGTGCCACTTCTTAAACCAAACACAGGACTCTCGTTGTTGGCAACATGAAACACTACCTAGAAAGCAAATAAAAGGGGATTTAACTATTGACACTTTCGTCATATTCCCCGACATTGTTTCTTCGATTGTGGAAACCCTGCACTAAAGCTGTTCATCAAAACACTTGTTACAGTTAGACCAAATTTGATTGGTTTGTTATATACTACAGTCTAAAACTGGCAGCAAACTATTTCTGAATAACGAAGGTTTCATCAATTCTTTGGTTGACTAACGGTGAGCAACATAGCCTTTTCAACTCAATGAAATAACAGGACTTTTTTCTGCTCTTTATGCCTAATTCAAATTTGGTAAAATTAAAGCAATCATTTAACCAGAAGTCCCAGATATTGACAAATATTTTTGTGAAATGAGTAAATGAACAAAAAATAAGTAAAAGAACAGCAAAAATGCCCCATAAGAATGCAAAACACACAGCTAATCACTCATAAAAACGAAAACTTATTGCAAGCAATTAAGAAATATGATTTCTTTCTAATCCGTATCCATTAGCAGGTTTGGATCAATGCAAAATTCAGAGCTTTGTAAGCTTCGGCTGATTATATTTACAAATTCTACACAGTAGAAACACTCAGAAGATATTTGGATCTTGTGGGGTTTTGCAAAATATAAACAAACTCAAATTCAATGTGCTTGAAATACATCGTACAATCACGAAGCCTTATAGATAGCCTCATAGATTCTTGCCTGAGTGGAAATTTATCCTCACGACAGGTCTGAGTGGAAAAGTAATTAAAAATTCATTGCAATAATTAAAATTACAGTTCGTAAGTTGCATCATTTTTATGACAACATTTGGATGGTTAAGTCTTTGATTCAACCGTTCATGGTTAACCTAACCAGTAAACACTAACCTAACCTAATTGACTCACCTTTGCTTTCCTGGTGAGACTTAACACTTATAATAAAAGCGTTTTGAGACCTGCCTTCCCTTGAAGGTATAAAAAATAATTTAACATCTCATTGAGATTTAGGTATTCTGTCGAGAATCCACTGAAGAACGCAGCTGATAACTCTCTGAAAGCTATGCTGAAATTCCATCGACCTTACTGAAGAGGTTCATCTCATTGGTTACAGGGGGAATAAGAACAATACACTTGTGGGAAGTCACTTATTTGATGTCATTAGACGCGGTGTTATTGAATTTATCATCTCTCTGCCTGAAGAAGCCTTTCTGAGTTTTACACTCTCTGATGGTGACTGTGCTCAAATTGACTGTGACGTCCGTGATGAAAACTTCGTCCGCAACTGGGTTCTTGGATCGCCAGTAGTCTGGACCAGGGTTTGTGAGAATGTGCGTCACTCGCACAGGTTCCACTTTTTCTTCTTTGTTATGGTGGCCATTGACTAGAATGTTGTTATTATTGTTATTAGAGACTGCGGGGTCGTCTTCTGTTTTCGGAGGTTCTTCTGCTCGGGCAGCCACTGGAGTAGCAGCAGTGGCTCCACCATTTGCCTAAAATCAACAACAAAAGTAATATTAGTAAAGTTATTATAGTTAAAGTATATTAGTTACGTTGACCCGTCAGGTTGGATTTGTTCTCACTGCACCAACCAAAAATTATAGGATTGCCACAGAATTTAGAAACTGAAATTCCCTGACATTTCCCGGATTTTCCTGACACATGTTGCTGAAATTCCCTGACAATTGAAGACATAACAAGTGGTGAAAAAGGCATGATTGATTATAGTTTTTGGGCAAAATTTGTTTTACGAAACCTCAAACTCGTTCTAGAAAGGAAATAAAGGTGATTTAACAAATTTTCTCTGACATTTTCATAATTTTCCCAGAAATTTCCCGGTTTTCCCTGACTGTGGCAACCCTGAAATTACCACACCAATTACAGCTTGTTCTGTAACTTGGCTTGCTGTCGTTTGTATCTTTTAAATAATTTCTTGACAGGAGGCGTCATTAACTAACATCATCCCATACTGCACTAACTAGCACAGTTCGCCCTCTCCTGCACAAAGGACCATACCTTGTCTGCACTATTTCAGTGCCTCTACGAACATATCATTTTTTAAGAAGAGAGCAGTCGCACATATTAGTCTGAAAATGTCAGAGTCTTTTCTCACAAGTGTAAAGAAATTTCTTGGTATTTGGGAAATATATAGGATGGCTTTTCTCCAGATATATTAAAAGTAAGTAAGATATACTGAAACAGTACAATCAATATACCTTCCTTCGCATGGGAGATGATGAGTTCAGCAGTGTCTAGCTGTAATATAACAGTTGAGTTTCAATGAGCCTTTCCGAATCTCATTGTTCAAGTTTATGACTGATATTTCTATTTTTGTGAATTAGAGTATTAGTTTTCAGAGTATTAGAATTTAACCAGCATTTACCCTCAAGAGCTCACGATGACACTCAAGTTGAATAAATATGTTTCTACTGTATAAGTTTTGGTTGGAACATAAAGGAGAGAAAATTAAGTGCTGGCACCAACTTGAAGGGCTTTTTTTCTGTTCAAATGAAAAATTGAACAAATTTCTGGAGATGAAAGGAGGATTTCTTTATTTTCACAGATCAAATCCAGTAACATTTCTGAAGAGATTGGTTTATTAAATTTTTTGTTCAAGATGACTTTTGGAAGCAATTGTTGAGTAGACACCCTTTAGGACATTGTGTATCACCAGGAGGCAATCATTCAAAGACTGCATTTCTCGCACTAATGCAAATACTGCACTTATTATCAGTATTTGGAACTATTTTTTTGCAGAAAAAGGCAACGCGCCCCTCGATGAAGTGAAACTCATTTCCACGCAAGGATGAAGACCCTCTCCTTGTCGTGAAACTGCACCTAAATCTTCGCCTTAAGGTGATTCGACGGACGCCATTTTTTGTATCAGGGCGACATACGATATATCGCATCAATTTGTTCCATAATTTCAGGTACCTGTCATTTTTTTCGAATTTTGTCATTTTTTTCAAACCAATCAATGCGACATATCGCATGTCCTTATGACACAAAATATGGCGTCCATCAAATCACCTTACTGAAAATTGAAAACTGTTGTTGAAGCTATAGACAGCAGTAAGGGCTTCATCAATGAAAAAGAGCATAAGAACATGACTAAAGGTCAACTGAAAAAAAAACTTAAAGCAAAAAAAAAGATGATACTGCTTTCTTGTCATCTGTCTTTGGATGATTTTCCGCCAAAATGGTGCGCTTGCATTTGAAATGAGAGAGCTTCTGGATTGAGTCATCAGTAAAAGGCTGTTTGCTCAATACTCGTACTCATGACCTCTACTTAAATTCTCTGAAATGGAATAATCATTTACACCAGATGTGTATCCTTTGAAACTGTGCTTCAACCATTCCGAAAAATATTAGCTGATCTACTGTGAAATCTCTGTACTAGCTGCAGGTTTAAATGAATAAAATTTAATCACATGAATGCTACAGAAACTAAGTCCACAAAAATGTTTACTTCATTTTTTGTGGATTGTGGTATCTGCGGAAAAATACATTAGTTCATATAAAAATCTCCTCATTCTAAGGAAACATATGTTAAAACAAAGGCACTGGAATATGGCAACTCAAGATGCACTTTGAAATGCACATTTGTAATTGTTGAGAGGTGATGTTGCACCAGCAATTTTGGAGGAGGAAAAATAGCTAATTCTATCAACAAAGATCAGAAGAAGACAAATATGTACAATCAGATCTCATTTGACATTCTCCAAATTCGTACTTGGCCCTATCAGACATACCGCTCAACAAGTGAATATTGACCTATCTCTTTCTGCAAGCTTTTCCTTTTTTTACAAAATTTTTCAAAAGACAAAAATTAAAAATTAATTAAATTTCAGCTGGTGCGAGCATTTTATAAAATTTTAGGAGCTTTTTCTAGTCATGAAAATAGCACCAGACATCGCCTAATTTTCTCTCAGCCTTCATTATTTTGAACAAACAAAGAAACAATAATCTGAGGCAACACTCTAACTTGCAATTTTGTGAGTTGACTCTTGAAAATCTGAGAAAAATTCATTGAAAGTTTCAAAGCAATATGTCATTTAGTTTTCCATTGAAGGAAGAACACACAAGAGGAAATCAGGCAACGTGAAATGCAGCTAGGCCGATTTTGGTCAATACCTCCAATTTTTGTTGAACCAAACATGACATACATGGACATAATGATGAACAAAACTGTGTGGGATTACATATTCAAATTTAAAAAAATGGTTTGCTGCAACTCATCCCTAAGAAGTCCAATGCTGGAAAAAAAGGGTCTTAATCCAGCGGTCATTAATTTTAAAAAATACAGAAGTTTACAGTACCTGCATAGGCTGAGAATTAACTGGTGATAGGATGGCTTCAGTTCGTTTATCTGACCGCGCGGAAACAGGTGATGGAGGCGGCGACTTTATACTGGTAGGAAGCGACTGAGACCCGATCGACTGTTTAGCGTTCGGGTGCGGAGAGGTGGAACCTTCATTTGTATCTCTTGGAGACATGCTACTCTTAGGACTCGATCCAGCTGATGGCCTTCGGCCGTCAATTTTCCCCTGCACCTAAGAGAGCAAAAATGATAGAGATTAATGACTTCAAGAGAAACACAACCAAAATATAGGTTTGTAAGTGCTCAACTACTCAACATCATCTTTTCAATGGTTTTCGGTAATATTCCAATTTTTTAATGTTGACATCTATACACGGATAGAGTTAAGCAGTGGAAGCTAATTTTAATATTCGGAGGGAAAATAACCAACATTATTGCTTAAATTTTTGAGAAAAAACCTCTGTAATTATTATCATTTATCTTTTAAGAATCCAATCAACCTCTCACAAAACAATCTCACCGAAAATTACGGAGCAATTCACTTCTGTACTCACTGACCCATCCACCTCATCTAGTGGAGGTTGGGTTAGGTTAAGCTTATCTTGAGCTCTGATTGGCTACGATGATGAGCGGACCCTGCCAGAGGAGCCCAAGAAGGGCCGGTAGCTGTGTACCGCCCGCTGCCGAACGGCTCCTTCGCTCCGTGAAGAAAACGGGAGAGGAGTGGTTTTTAACTCACTTTTTGATTCGGAAATCGTTGTACAGAGCCTAAAACTAAGTCTGAGATTGATTCACCTTATCTTCAGGTATCCATCAAGATAAAAGAAGTGTGTTTAGTCGGATAACTCAATTTTTCTCGATTTTTTAAAACACTCATATTAGCACGCAGTTTAGATAGCAAAAACCCGTGGTCTTGCATTGTGAAGTTAGAGTCACGTGATTTTGTGGCGCGGGAAGGAACCCTATTTCAAATCGTTTCTGACTTTTCAGGGCTTATTCTATATGTTTCAATCATCAGAAAATTTTTAAAAAATACCTTAACAATCAGCACACCTCCAACTTGTACAGACTGAATTAAAAAAAACCCATGCAACAACCTCATTCTGTTTTTTGCCTGAAAGCTTTTCAGAACTCAGTAGCAGATTTTGGAAAGAAAAAGTGGCATCATTGTGCTTCTTGCAAAGTTTGATACTTATATTAAGTGCAATTTTTAGGATAAGACAAGGTCTTTGTTGTTGTAGAAGATCAATAGCTTTACACAGATGTGGAAATTTTTTCTCGTGGCAAGGTTTCCATGGTCTGTTAATTATCAAATTCCCTGAGTTTTTTGTTTTTCCCTAACACCAAGATTTCTGTACTCCCTAACCTTTGATCAAAACCTCCACATTCGTTTTTTTCTTTCAGGTTCTCCAGACCACCAGGAACCATGTTAGTCTTCTAAAAATCGGTTAAAATGTAATGGATGAGTATACTGCTTATCAAAGTCATAAAAAGACCTGATAGGATCAGGCCAATAAGATAACCTAGAATCCAGCGTGATAATTTGGTTGACGGAAAAACTCACATTTGCAGAGGTTGGATGTGACGATGACACAGTTTTAGCGATACTCGACTGTAGTTTTGGGATTTTTGCTTGCGAATTGGGAGGACTAGTAGTGATCGTGACACCGATTTTGCCTGATTCTTTGGACAGTACTTCCGCTTTGCGTTTTGTTCCTGTTACGACTGGCCTTTTGTCCCTCTCGTCTCCATCATCACTGCTTTCATCCTCATCCCTTTCTCCATAACCTTCAGTTGTGGTTGGTGACGTTACCCTCTCTACATCCGCTAAAATTAGAAACCAAATGGTATTGAGCATTGGAAATTTGTTTAAAAATTCATTTATAGAGACAAGATGTGAGTAAAACAGATGAGGACAAAAAATAGGGTGTCTACCAGTACGTCTTAATTATAATAGCTTGCTACTTCCTTACTTCACTTGTGTTCCTTATTCTGGGAAGGACAGAATTTTTTTCCAGACAAAAAAAGATCATTTTTCCAACATTGACTATGGATAGTGTTGTCTTAAAGCTCCCGGTGATCTTCAATATTCAGCGGTGAATACATTATAAAAGCTTTGGTATTAATCCAAGGAAAATGAGGCTAGCTTAAGCTTCGGGTGGTGAAAATAAATTCTGATTCAGAAAACGGAAAGTAGGAATAATAAAGAAATGAACCAACACACAGAATTGAACTACAAGAATTTGATAAAATAGACTTTATTGAAAAATCGCATACCCCGAAGACTATTTTTAATGCTCATCAAAAATTCATACATCCGTATCTTTTCTTAGAAAATCCGAACAGGTTCTTTGCTTCCATGAGAACCTTTCAAAATCCAAGCTTTATCAGCGTTTCCGTACTGTTCACGTACAGTGAACACCTTCGATAAGTAAAGAGCATTGATCCATTCTGTTACATTTATGGCAGTCACAAATAGACACTTTTCTCTTCTTAGCTGCATGGAAGGTGTACCATGAGGATTTTCTTCTTGACCAATCATCTTTTTTCCAATTTTTTCTACCTACTGATATAAACTTAGCCATTTTCAAAATTGTTTCTTATTGTTATCTTGAAGCAATAGAGGATATGGTAGTAAATATTATAAGAAGGGGTAAAGAAATACTGAACAAGGAGCGAAATCATAAGAAAAGAACAATGCATACCCTGAGAGCGAGTGTCTTCATCTTCTGAATCATTTTCTGTATCAACAGATACTCGCTCATTCTGTGCTTTGTTATTTACATCATTTCGATCATCTTCTTCATCCTGATCTTTTGGTGATTCATGATAAGAGCCCTACAAAAAGAGGAGAAGGTGCAGGTGAGTAAAATGAAACAAAAGCTTAAAAATACAGAATAAAAGTACTTCTGATACAAACCAAACATACCTAATCGTGTAAGTACAGTTGTTCTTTTGAATTTTAGTTAGCTATCAAAACAATTCCATTAAAAAGAAATAATAAAACGAGGACCCTAACCAGTTGTTATCAGAACTTCCCGAGCTAGTAAAAAAATGATCTGTTGCCATGTAATACTGAGAACCCATGTTTGGCCAGGCGATGCAATAGACAGATCTTTAGGGCAACAATGATTTGTCTCAGAGCTCATGAAGTTCCGCTTTTGCCGGCCCTTTCTGACAAGAGCAGTTTTATCAGAGTGTAGGTATCAGTACTTTGGAACAAACCACGTCGATAGTTCAACAACAAGAATTGGTTAGAATATCCTTAATCATACGCAAGATTATACTTCAACGATGAGGCTATTGCAATCACTTTTTCCTTCTTTTTCATAATTCATTTCAAGAAATTATAGAAATTGTGAGGAGTCTTAGATATACTGTATTTTGAAATTAATTAAATAATATCTTAAGAGACAATTTTCAATACAGCCAAAAATACAACCCCATTTTAAACAAACAATTTTATGCCGACAGATTTTGCCGTATCGCATGATACTGCTGCATATGTTTGCAGTATAGTTACTTAAGTTCTAGAGCATTCTGTTCTTTTCCATTCCCATAACAATATCCTGTTTATTAAGCAGTGAAGAATTCCCATAGAAAAGATGTTCAGAGAGCATGTTCTAGAATGTAATCGACCAATGTATCATTAATCATCATGAAATCTATTCAGACAAAATTATTTCATTTGAATTGTGACTGGATTTTGGGCAACTTTGAAAGTCCTTTTCTCAATAAAATTTGATTAGCTAAATAAAAACAGAAGAGCATGCGTCTCCTTATTTTGCGGACACCCTCTGAGTAAATGAGGAAAACTACTACACAACAGCTCCATCAATGCACAACCCTTGACAGGATGGTCAGGAGAGGGGTACAAAATTTTAAAGGTGAGAAAAATACTGCCTTAATCATGAACATTTCCAAGAAGTAATTTCAGTCCTATGTTGTCATGTTTGTGGGTGGCCCATGGACAAATTGTTAGTAACATTTGTAAAATGGCATTAGATGGATTCCAGCACCAATTAAAGTATTGAATACCTTTCTGCAAAATATTTTATTTGAGGGCGTTATTTTATGGCTCTGAATTAACTGCTTCAAGGAGTTTACTTCCTCACTTACTCAAGGTAAAGCAACCATCACAAAACAGTGTGTCTAACTTTTGCATATTTAAAACAGATTGGACACCTTTGCAGAAAAAGATGGGTACATTATGGTAACAGGGAGAATTACTTTGCTACTTCCATGTGGAGTAAGAGGCTGAAGCAGCATTGTACTCACAATAGACTAATTATGTGGCTAAATATCATTCTATATATTGCCATTATCAAGTGCTGCTCTTAAATTGTGCGGGCTCAGCAAATTATATCAAAACACTTCATGCGCTCTGGCAAAAGCATCAAATACACCTAGCATCTAAAGTCGCAGGCACTAAATCAGTCTATGTCAACTGATAGGTCGGATAAGAAACAAAATGAAGTCACATTTACAGTAGAGACTTATTTGTTCCTTGACTTGTTCTGATTTATTTTTAACCCATAGAACCTACTGAGAGGCGAAGTTGATGTCAGGAGTGCAGAACATGAAAAATATTGACGGTCAAAGTGCAAAAACCAAGTATCTACATTTACGATATGCAAACTTCCTGTCATACTTTAATTTTTCTTCTGATAATAAGTCAATGGAATACCTTGAAACCTCTTGGATTTTTCTTCTCTGTTAACAAAATATTTTGTATAAATTTCAACCAATAACGTCATGTTTTCCTTTGAAAGAATTAAATAGGAGCAAAAGTTTTGAAAAACTGCAATGGAGATACATCATGTCGCTCTCAGGACATCAATATGGTTCATGTCAATACTCTTTCTTAAAGAATACAGTTTTTAGAGACAATGAAGCGATGAGTATCACTTAAATAAAAAGTTGTATTTTTCAGATCACATACTTTTCATCTTTGCATCAAAGTAAAGTGCTCTGAAAAATTAAGAATTCAGTAATAGTTAAGGAGTGAGAGAAAATGAAGAGTTTTTTTTGTATTTCCGAGAATATTAGGATGTATTTAACCAAAATCAAACTTAGTGCATTCACTGTGTCCTAATTGCCTCTTGTGTTTTCTTTCGGAGACAGAAAACTTAACATCATGGCATTTTGAAACTTTAAGTCAACTTTTCTTGGATTATAAAAAATGCAATCACAAAAGTGTAAGTTAGAAAGTTGCTTATTTTTCTGGTAAAAACATAAACTATGCCGACAAATTAAGCCAAGTTTTTTGCAATTAGATGAGGGTGATTCATCTAGCTCAAATGAAGTGGTCGAAGTAGAGTGTGATATATTGCATCGATCAGGTCAAAAATCTCGGTAGATTTTGAATTTTCAGCAAAAAAAAGGACGATAGCCCCTGCGCATGAGCCTAAAGAATCTTTTTAAACCCAAAAATCAGCAAAATTCCAAGAAATGAAAGCAGAATAGTGTTTGGAAAAAAACCTCGCATTTGATACAGAAATTGATGGCTGAATCGAATTCGAGGTTTTTTTCCAAACACAATTCTGCTTTCATTTCTCGGAATTTTGTTAATTTTCGGGTTTAGAATGATTCTTTAGGCTCATGCGCGGGGGCTATCGTCCTTTTTTTCACTAAAAATTCAAAATCGACCGAGATTTTTGACCTAATTGATGCGATATATCGCATGCCAGTTCGATCACGTCACTTGAGCTTGACAAATCACCTTAACCCATTGACTTACAATGACGGCTCCCAGGCGTCATCGCAGCGCTGGGCCAGCTCTGCAATGACGGCTCAGAGCCGTCCGCTGATTGTTCGCGTTATTTCGGCATTTCTCCGGTAGATTGCGTTCTCATCAATGTTTATATGAGTAGTGTGGCCACCCTATGACTTATTGTGTACAGTAATTTCTTGCTTTGTTGCGGTATTTTCATATTACTGTGCGTTTGCACATGAAATAACCTCAAAATTTTCTGATTTTCGCTGATCTTGCGATTTTTGCGATTTTGACAGCTATAAACCACATAAAAAAATCATTGTGTTCAAAGTTTTCACCATTTTTCTCAAACGTTGTATTGTGAATGCTTATTTTGTCAATTTTCACCCTTTGAGAAATAATTTCTGGATTATTTTGAAGTGTTCAAAGTTGCTGATTTTCGCCAAATTAAATCGTAATTCCTGGCCCGGCAGGGTCAAATTAAATCATAAGTCAATGGGTTAACAGTAAGTCTAGTTATATCTGTTCATTTTCTCCTGCACTCCTGGTTTGCGAACTAATACTAACGGCATTAACATTTAAAATAAAGAAATAAGAAGAAAAAAGTTATCTTACTCTTACATGAAATCGAGTCTCTCGAGGCTCTTTTTTCCTTCCTCGCCTCAGAGGCTCGCCAGCTTCCCTGCAAAATTAAAGAAAAAAGATTTTAGAGTTCGGAAGAGTATTTACAGTTCAAAATGTTGTAAAGTGTAGAAGGAGTGGATTTCTGCTTAGATCATTGAAAAAATGTGCAACATTCGTTCTCTAAGACTATAATAAATGATAAGTGCACACTGGATCCCCGACTTAGGTCTGGTATCAGGGAAGATTGCAACTAAATATTTGTCTTCAGAGAATAAAATATAAATAAGATTACTCTGAGAAAGACCAAATATCCACCATCCTTTGACAGACAAGATAGAATGGAGACTTCCCAATGTCATTGACATGATAAAATTGCTGTTTTTCCACAGAAAAAATCCTATGATCATAATAAAATAAAGGAAAATTGACATTTTGAAATGCACAGCATCAGGGTTTTTCATCAGATTCTGGAGCTGCAGGTTTTCTAGAATGCTATCAACACCATTGAATAAAATTCGGTGCAAAGATAAACAGTGACTTCGGAGGAAATATCAAGTAAGAAAAGCTACACTTAGCATAATGTCTGGCTCACCTTGCTTCAAAAGCATCAATTAGCCTGGCGTCCAAAATATTTTCTTCTGGTTCCCAAGTACTGTGCCTGTGAAAAATAAACCAAAATTAGCTATGCATTGGAAAGAAAAATAAAAAGAACACCCTGATCGAGAGGAATTTAAGTATAAATATGATGAACAAAGCGAAAAACTCAGAGAATAATTTCTTGCAGAAAAAGTACCGCTAGGAGAATATTTGGAAACAATTTGCTGCATCAACAGGAAATGGTGAGACTATAAGATAAATAATGAGTCCGACAAAGCTTCCTTGAAGCTCATAGGTGGCTTTAATAAAATGCCTATCTTAAATTGCAGGGTTGTGAATCATTCCTCATGTTTCATTTTTTTTAAAAGGAAAACTAACAAACCGTTCCTCCTGAAGTGTTTTTATCAAAATTTTAAAAAAATCACAAAAAATTGCAAGGGAGCATTTTTATTAGTTTTCCTGATGGAAAATAAAATCTTATTGGACATTTTAAAACATTGCAATTGAGATACACGATTGTTTTCAATTTGTCATCGTTGTATGGACAAAAGAATACATTCATTGGTCACCTTCACATTAATTTGTTATCTTACACAGTTTCTGTATTGTTTCAAGTTTTTCTTGAAACTTTTGCACATATTTTCATAAACATCTAAGAAATTTATCTTGATGACAAAATTTTTAGCAGGTAAAATGTTCCAGAGGCTCTGTTCATTAGTTTTTCCCTAAAAAATTGGACGATTTGAATGAAGTTTGACGATACAGTGCCCAATCACAGGGCACATGAGGTACTTTGGCCAGAAGGCAACGAATTGTAGAATGGGATGAATCATGTTTTTAATTCTCAGTTCTAGATTTATTTAAAAAACTGTAATGAATTATCAAAACCTGCAAAAGGTAGGCAAGAGTTCGATCATTAAATACAAAGAGGTTTAGATCAGTTTAAAATGAACTTTTACGCTGCACAATGAACACCGGTGATCAATTGTTTATCATCTTTGCACATAGGATCCGATAAACGAAACTAAATCTTTATGGCACAATTCATTTGTTACTTCCGAAAGTCTTTTGTATCAGGACTAGTGGACAAATCCAAGCTACTGGGACTCTTCCTGCTCATGATAAATAAATCAGAATGACATTTATATTAAAACAGGAGTGTGCTATGGAAAGTGGAGTGCCGATGGTGTGCCTTTAAATTCATTGCCGAATAAAAAACACTAATTTAACTTACTTGTTTCCCCATCCTTTCCATTTGACAAAATATTCTTGTTTGCCCTGGAACAAAGGAAAAAATAAGGCTATTAAGTCACGGTATCAGAGCAATAAAAATTCATTAGAATGCTAAGTCTAAAGTTTCTCATCATTTTCAGTACAATAGAGCGTTAGGGAGCCATCTGAATGACCAGAAACTAAGATGAACGAATTAAGTTAGTAAATCTTTCATTAGTCTCTGGAGTAGGCACGCTTAAGTAATTGAAGAAAACGAAATAAATGACAGAGCTAGACAAGCAGAATTATTGGACAACAACCTGAACATCTTTAATTGGCAGTCATGTTCTTGAACAAAAGAACAACACTCTCTACATTGATTACTAAGCAGACTTTAAAAGTCAAACTTTAAAGGTTAATAACAGGAAAAAAATAATCTTCTGATGTTCATTCGATGGTACACTGATTGTCACATCGATGGTACACTGATTGTCTGATTGTCACATCGATGATGGGATAAGTTGGTAAGTGAATGACTGCGTGATCATAAATACATCTATTCATAGACAGCATGTTTTGCAAATATAAAGTTATAAAAAAATTTGGATGTTCTTAAAACTATGAATGGACTCTGCAGATTTCAAAAATGAATTTATGAGGTTATCAAAAATAGGATGGAGATGCCGGGGATTGAACCCGGGGCCTCTCACATGCGAAGCGAGCGCTCTACCACTGAGCTACATCCCCACAACTGAGTGAAGAGGGTAAATTTATCAAACATAAGAATTCGACAACATATGAGACTAGTAAATTTCAAAAATATTCAAAGCAATTTGGATTAAGAGAGAAACATAAGCATGAGATTAAAACCAAGAAAAAGTGAAAAAGTTTCCAGTTGGATTGGTGAAAGTGCAAAATGGGCACAGACATTCCAACAGGGGCATTATTTGATAAGAGTTTCATTCATGAGTAACTTGCAGATAATAGTATTTAAAGAGAGAACAACATGAAGAAAGATCTTCCATTGCGGTATCATTTACTACTAATGATAATAACTACGTAAACATGTTACTGGCGGTAGGAACCTGCCATAACCTAAAATTGGTATGAGGCACGAATATGTAAAACTAAATATTTTGAATTGTAGAGATTATCTCAATGCACAGGATTTAATTTGAAATTTGATGGAAACAAGAAAAGTGAAATCAGTTGAAGTTCAAGATGCAACATCAATGAGTGTTTATCAATGCTCAAGCGCTTTCCAATTATCGAAATGGCGCATCAGGAAGTGATACATAAAACTTGTTAGATTCCTATGAACCTAATTAGAAAGAGACAAGCTAGGGCGAAATAAATCAGCTTAATGCCACACCTCTACAAAATATTAGAGAGGTATTAACACATTTACAATCAAAGGGAGTTACGAATTCAGGTCTGATGAACTGTGTTTAGTAAGACTGCTGACATTGTGCTTCATCGGAGACAAAACTATGAGATAAAATTAATGAACGGAAATAATAAGAATAGTTTGAAAACGTGTTGAAAAGATTGGAGAGGGACTATCTGCAGGAAATGGAAAGTGTCATGGGCGCGAATACAAAGTGTCGGGGTGCTCCAGATTTGGAAGACATTTGATAGCGTCAAAGGAATATTCGATTGGGTAAAGCGAAATGTACTGAGAGAGGACACAGTCGTAGTGTAGAACTACTGATTTTTAGACGAAAAATGAAACCAGCACAACCAAAACTTCGGATTTTAAAGTTTCGGCATTATATAAACATTGACAAGAAATTAGGTTAGAATGACCTTTCACAAATATCGCGAGGACCAAAAAAACCCCCCGTAAAGTTATCTCAAGACTTAGATGGGACGCTAAACCCATAAATTCAGAGGAAGAATGACAAGAAATCAGGAGCGAAACTTACTTTTCTCGTCCTTTTCTTCAGGATTTTTTCGACCGCGTAAACCCTGTCACCCATTTTTCGAGTCAACTTCAGAGCGAGTCCACTTGATTGCAATCCGGAATAAAATCACTTCACATAGTTTATACACTCTAGAGGAACGTTAATTCACACAGAAATTGGAAAATTCACAAGTTGTAAGCACGGAAACTTCGACGCTTCGAGAGGAAAATGCAGTACGGTTGATAGCGTGAAAATTGTAAACAACAGGCACCGATAAAAAGTGCAGCGACAACGACGATGCGATCGCCCATTGAAGAGCTGCGCCAATGGCGTGGCCTTCGCTTCCCCCACCACCGCGCTTCGCGGGTTCGCGTTCACACTCGCGGAAGGCTCCTGGCGTTATTGGCCAATCATGATGGCTGATGGCTGATGGCGCCGGCAAGCAGGGTCATGATAAAAGACCCCCCCCCCCCCCTCTCCCTGTACTTTTGGGCTCCTTTGATGGGAGGGGAGGAAGCACCTACAAAGAGCCCGGTTTCCTCTGATTTTTTCAAAAATTAACAACTCACGTTTCAAAATTCGTATGGAACAGCAACAAAAATTGAATCGGTGAGTTCGAAAACACACCAACTCGGAAAAAAAAATTGTTCAGGAAACACCTAAAACTTCGCAGCGGGCGAAGTTTTGGTGCCTAAGGACAAGTACTTAGAGACTTTGTAAAGCACCAAGTTGAAATCGATACACTATGTTTGATGACAGGGAATTAAGAGTTTAAAAATTTCCGAGTTGGTGTGTTTTCGTTCTCACCGACTTTCAGATACTGATTTTTCATAGTCTGCCCTGAAAAATGTATATTTTTCGACGTGGATAATGCTTGAATATTTGTATAACTTGTTGGTACAAGGTATACTGAACCGAAAAAAGAAAACCACAAAATCGAATGAACTCTGCAGCTTCCCTTGAAAAGGCCAAAAATTGGTATTTCCAATGGTATACTTCAATTTTTCCCTTTTCCCGTCGCTGTTTCGAGCACTTCCAATTGCGAATTCGAAATTTCCTTTTGCGCGCAGATGCTTCTACCCATAAGTGTTACTAAACCGTAAAAAAGTGAAAATCGAAAAAAAACCTGAGTTGGTGTGTTTTCGTACTCACTGATTCAATTGCAGAATTCGACAACTTCTAGCAATTACAAGCGCCATGCGAAGTTTCAAAATTTCCGCCGCCGTATTATTTTTTTTTTACAGAGAAATTGTTGGTTGAATCTGTTTGAAAATTTTGCTGAATTTTATCGGCAGCCCGAAGAAAATTCAGCGAAATTTTCGGACAGCTTCGTAGAAAAATTTATTCGTAAAAAATAAAATGGCGCCGAAAATTTTTTAAACGTCGCACGGCGCCTGTGATACTTTGGCCGGAAGGTGACCAGGGTCGGACTGACTCGCATCTGAGGGCGTAGACCCTTGGCTGGTTAAAGGGGCGTAACGTTATATTTCCTGGTAGGGCATTCCCTACGTGGAGAGGAGTGTAGAAAATTTTGGCAAATCAGCACAAGTTTACGCTATTTTCAGGTTCAAAGTTTATTGATCGCACGGAGTAAAAATTGCAAAATTTAACGTGAAGCACAGCATTGAGAGCTCACGCTTCGCGTCATCACACCTTCAATTTTTCAGATGCAGCACGGACGTCCATCAAGTACGAATAGTTGTATCTCTTCGCCATCGTAAACACGCATCCTTTCCCACCCTCTTTTTCCATATTGTGTTTGTTTCCGTTTGTCTTATTCGTAATGGTGCTTCAAGCACTACGTGAGTAATACAATCGAAGGTAGGAGAGATGTCTTCAGGCCTTTTTTAAACTTTTCTCCCGAATCAGAGCGACGCTTCATTGACAGCATAAAGCAGAGCATTGAGAGCTCACGGTTCGCGTCATCGCGCCTTCAATTTTTCAGATGCAGCACGGACGTCCATCAAGTATGAATAGTTGTATCTCTACGCCGTCGTTAACGCGCATCCTTTCCCTCGCTTTATTTCCACATTGTGTTTGTTTGCGTTTGTCTTATTTGTAATATTGCTACAAACTAGAGCAGAGCATTGCGAGTTCACGACTCACGGCATCGCGTCTTACATTTTTCATATGCAATGTGGACATCCATCTTGCGCGAATAGTTTTATCGCGTTTACATTTTAGATGTCTCTTATTTTTTAATTTCGAGATAAATTAAGGTTAAGTTTGTCCGAGGTTAGTAAATGTCGTGGAAATGTTTGAAATTTATTTTAAAACATTTTTCTGCGAGATGGAGATTTCGAGTTCATCTTCACTTTACAAATCAGAGCCAAAATGTTTGTACATCACTGATAGACAAGCTTGGATCACGAGCTGCATGTGGGGGCAATTCCTGGGGACAGAAGTCTAATTGGACTGCATTTTGCAATTTGGAACTATAAATTCTGGCTCTTCTGGAAAACAGCGTATGTACATAGGGAAACTAATGGCACATATGTTGTTTTTAAACCGGGCTAGAACTTATAGACCCAAATTGCAAAATGTAGTCCAATTGTGCCCTTGCAAATGATTCTCATAAAATTTTTGATGGATTCAGACAAAATGTGCCTACTTCAAGTGGAAACTGAAATCGTTCAGTACAGAAAAAATCCGGGTTAGGGTAAAAAATTTCCAGTTTTCAATGTTAAATACCTCCTGATGATGCTCTTAAAAACATTGGGATGAAATAATTTCAAACCGCGATTCGCAATATTAAAGATGTCGTAAGCGTTTCGACTGAAACATTTCGAAGGGTGACTGGCGATAGCACCGGCAAATTTTAACGGTGTTTTTCTCAAAATCCTCATTTGTCAAAAAACTTTAAATTGCTGGCCATGAATGGCACTTACTTTGTTCCTAAAGCAATCAAGAAATCATAGGTTCTTATCATAAAATGTGGTCCAACCGTTTTAAATCTTACCTACACTAAGTGAGGGAAAAATATAATGTTTATACTGCCGGACTAATCTAAGGAAGAACGCCGTATGAACATTTGGGAGTTGCCAAATTTCCTCTGATAAAATGTTTATTTTTGAGAAAATTTATGAATATTTTTCCTTTAAATTTTCAGATACTTCAGATAAAATTACTAACAAAATTATTTGAGAAATTGGAGGGAAAATATTCACAAATTTTCTTGAAAATTAGTTATTTGCCTAGGGAAATTTGGCAACGCCTGAGGGCTCATATACGGCGTACTTCCTTATCACGACAGTATACCAAGCAAATAGATAATTTGCCACTGAGAGGCTACCCCCTACCCTCCAAAGCTGTCTCGCGGACCAAGGAAATGACGAAATCACGAATACTCCACACGGGGTCATATTTACGCGGGTCGATCGTAGAATAATAATCTATATATAGCAATCGATATATCGCCTTAATCGATATATTACATTGTGAAGATAGGGAGTTATCGATAAAACTCATTCGATAACGAGCCGACAATCGAACCGCTGGAGGGGCGATTTATAATCGGAGGTGTTTCGTAATTCTCTGAGCGATGTTTTTAGATTATCTCATTGAGCTCGCAACCCTCAAAATGTGCTTAAGCGGCTCGCTGATGAGCCCGCGGCACAAGGTGGTAAGTCCGACGCAGTGCTGTCAGGTGAAGCATTAAAATTGCTTTCACTTTCAGGATAGAATTGACTATTCTTCGTGAGAACTAAGGAGCATACGAAAGGCCATTCACTCCACCAAATTTACTCAACCCCGCATACAATTTTAAGAAAAATTACCTCATAAAATTAGAATATTTTGGAAGGCAGAAATGTAAAATTAAAAACCTTAACAAAAATCAAGGAAAACAAGAAATTACGTTGACCAGTTTTCCAAAGGAAAATAGAGTATGAAGCGTAAAGTAAAGAGTAAAAAGAGGGCAAAAAATGAAAAGTAATTATGAGTATTGCCGCAGTATCCCCCGGATATAAAGCCTAAAATAACATACAAAAAAAAAAAAAAAAAAAATTATGAGTATTGAATTTACCGCTAAGAACTTATACGACGGGGTTATCCGAAAACAGTCATACATGCTTTGGCTTTGACGAAACCAAATGCATGATGTGTGAAAGGGTGAGTCTGTGGAGGGATATACTCAGTCTAACTGAATCTCGCCTTCGATTTCACGGTATAGGCAAATAACGCACCGCGGAGCACGAATTGTTATCTATTCAAAATGATGCAATTAAGTATATCGCCTAAGGCTTTGATTGAACTGATAAACCATGTTATAATCTGTTGGCAGGTATTGTCCGTTTGAGGTTCGCCTTCAATTTCACGGCACAGGCAACACATCTACCTGAAAAAGCGAAAAATTATCTATTTAAAAACTTACAGTTATATCTCTCAATGACTGTGCTACATGGAATCATCAGACAATACGTAGACCCATGGCCAGATATCTTTCTTTTGAGCTTAGGTTTTCCTTCAATTTCGCCGCATAGGCAAAAAACATACCGCGGAGGGTGAATAGTTATCTATTCGAAATAATGCGATTATATTGCCCAAAGCTTTGATTGAACTTATAAACGATCAGGGCCGGATTAAGGGGGTGGCCACATGGGCCGCGGCCCATGGCGGCAAAACTAGGGGGCGGCAAATTTTGCAATTTTTTTAAATGCAGGTACAAAAAAATCGGATTCAGAAAAAAATTACAAACAAGAAAAGGTGGCAAAATCTCTCATTTCCTGAGAGTTCATTAAATTCGAATTTTGTCGTATTTCGGTGATACAAAAGACTGCGCACCTTTAATTAGTTGAGTTAAGAGAAAAACCAAGCACGCAATTTGGCCTGGAGCGGCGCTACACAAAGAGAAATGATGACGAGGACTTGAGATGAAAAGGAGAAGCCCTCGACGCGGCGGTCGGCATGTAACGCATATTAGCGCCTACAAGACTGCATGAATACTTTACGCATTGCGTCAAACACAGTACGGTCAACAGCGGTCGGCGCGGCGTGAAACGCACAGTGCCTACAAGACTACATGAATACTTCACGCATTGCACCAAACACAGTGTGGTCAGCGCGGCACGGCGCACTATGGTCCACAGACTGGATTTAACGGAACTTTATTCGAAAATGCACTGCACCGTTATAAAAGGTGTTGGATCTTATGTTTTTTGGGTCGCTGATTTCATGTTACATCTTAGTTTAACAAAATATTAACATCCTGACCGAGAAACTTAACCTCAAATGTGATTTCTGGCGCTTTTAAGACTGAAGATTTTTTCCACCCTATTTTGACATGTATAAAAATAATAACAAAAGTGTCTCTCTGTCGA